ACAAATAACACGATTATGCAACGGTTATGCGATTTCGATTTAATCAAAATGTAACCTTTCATATCTCCAAAATGCATGTCATAGTGACGAATACTGGTAATTATTTTTGTTTAATACTGTATGTAACATTTCATATTTCAAAATTTAACATATCATATTTCAAATATATACTTTTTATATTTTTATTTCAAATACATACACTTTTGGGAAATAAATCTTGCTAAAACAAACTATAACTGCTTATGCACTTGTAACCTATTTGTTTGTAGTAGTGTTGTTATGGTGTCAGAACTCATATTTAGTCTTTGGAATATATGAATCTCAAGTAAAGACTTAGTTGAAAATAGTCTCACATTGTCGACGAAGACAGTGCCGAAGTTTCCAACAATGTTGATGATACCGAAGACTGCACCACCAGAGCTCAACATGGTGAGATAAGAGCCTCTGTAGTTGCCGTCAACCGGACCACAAGCCTGGTCGTGGTGTGAGAGTGGCTCAGTGCATGTCCTTAACTTAGAGGCCATATCTCTTAGCCGGTCATAGACCACAGATGGACTCCCAAGCTCACTACTCGAAGTGTAGACCAAGAACACAAAGACAACTAAAACCACGTGAACTGAAACCAAACAAAGATAATAAACAACAATTAATTGCTAGGATATCTAACCAGATCAAAAATTCATTTTTCTGTTTGAATATAATCGGCTCAATTTATGAATATGGAACAAGTCTAAAAGTATTGTGTATGTTAACCGGTTGGTAGTTTTTTTTTTTGATTAATTTAGGGTATCTCAGACTCATGGAGAGAGCCAGATTAATTCCCAAGAGGGAGGTGGAACCCACGGAACCGGTTGGTAGTGTTAATATATTTTTATTTATTTCAGACAATAATTGTTTGCGGTTATATTATTTTCGAGTTTTGTAATTACCTATGACAGAGTGAACATAGCTTGCGAGGAAAGTAGCTTTAAGTCCTCCTGCCAAAGTATAAACAATGACGCCGAGAGGAATCAGAAAGCTTGCAGCGTATATATTCACTCCTGTGAGAGCATTCACCACGGCAGAGCCACCGAGCAATAACATTGCCGTCACTACCACGTTTGTCGCCAGACAAAACACCAAGAACACTATATGTGTTGCGGTTCCCCACCTTAATTTACCAAAAACATATTAAAAAAACAAATTACTCTCAAAGGTAGAACTTTAAATCAAAATTAACCCGTGCCTAGTCCTTGGACCGACCAGTACCACACGATCAAATGTTTAACAGACTTATTTTTAGTTAAATATTGATATTTGGGATAACAAACCAGTTTTCAGTTCATTTGATTGGATCACTTATTTTAGCAAAATGAAAATTTATACTTAATTTGTATTTTCTTAGAACCGTTCGGTTTCTATTATATTTTGGCTTAGTCTGTCCAGATTCAGCTTGGTTCAAATGTCATTTTAAAATTTTAAAGCAGTAATATGAAATGAAGCAGATAATAAATAAGATTGTATGTACCGAGCCTTCACTATTTCGCAGACCGTGTGAGCATTAGGAGCTTTTCTTTTTATTTCAATCGCCATCACACCAAACAAGAGTACCTATTTTGTTAATCATTGATCATTCACAATATGGCATTATGTATATATAAACAAAACCATATTATAAACCAGTTCAAAACAAAAACCATACTATAAAATACGTAGATATCTATAAATGTTTATATAACTTTTTTTATTATAAAGTTATTATTTTTGGAAATAACCTGTATGGTGGCTCCACTAGCGTACCAAAACGGTCCGCTAACACCATACTGCCATGCGACGTTTGAACTTTGCAGTATTGTCGCAGCCCATGTCCACTACGCATCAGTGGACCAGGAAATATAAATCAGTAGTTGTAAATCATTATAACAGTTAAATACATATATATACTTATTTTCTGAATTTAAAAGCATGATTTTACCTGTGACACAATGACACTTGCAATGAGTCCTGTCTTGACGTTTCTTCCAGCTGTATTGAACCATTCAGAGGTATGTTGAGCCCCCACATATCGTTTCTCTAGCCAAACCTTCATTCATTATCCCAGAAAATTTTATCATAGTGGACTAAAAATATCCAAATTTTTTTATCGAATCAGTGAATTGTCGTACTCAATCGGACTCCCAAACCGCGTACACTATTCAAATTTATTTATATCCAGGATCTGTTTTGTTTCGGACAAGTATTAAATTAGTTATTTTTGTTATGTTCTATTAACTTTCGTTATCCAGATTTTTCGAATATGACCATGAAACGAAACAACCCATTTTAACCCGTACAAACTACTGTATTCCAATTTAGAATATTGTTTTATTTTAAAAAAAAATCTATAAGATTGAGTATATAACATTGGTATTTAGATAGATGTAGTTTAGACAATTATGTAGGCCTACAATTATGCATATACTATCCTTTTGTTGTGCACTTGTTTGGTCAAAGACCCTACAAACATACTATTAGTTTTTTGACTTCCAAATTTTCAAAACTAAAAAAGAATTATAGTAAAATATTATACTTCACTAAATTTCAAAGTCTTCTGGCCACGGTTTTCGGTTATATAATCGTCGAAAATATAATTAGTTAGCTTACACCAAAAAAAAAAATTTAGAGGTCAAAATAGTGGGAAAAAACTTATTAACATCTAGGCTTGGGCGTATATGCCTTTGAAAAGTACTATCATTTGTTTTACCCTCTGAAGCAAATTATCTCACAAGATAAGTTATACATTTTTGTGTGGTCACGAGAAAATCAAAGCAGAGATATTCATTTATTTATTTTTCATAATAATATTGTGGTTTTGGAAAGCGAAGACTAACCAAAACAGATGTGAAGACGGCAAAGAAAGCACCAAAACCGAGAATAACGGCGTACCCAACGCCTTGGTCGAGCACCGTAGTATCTCCGAAGAAGCTGCTCCGCCTCTCGCATCCGCTTCCGCCACCGTTGTAATATTTCGTCGAGAAGTCAAAAGGAGGACACGTGGCCATTTCTTCTTTCTTCTTCTTTGCACTTTACGTGGTTGTTAATGGAAAAGTAAAATATGTTCCTCCTGAAATATGTAGGGAGTGATAGTTGAAAGATTCTTCAAGCACTTGTTTATAGAATGAATCTCGATTTGTTCAAAGAAAATAAACTGAATCTTTATTTAACAATTTGCAAGAGATGAAAGCTAGTTAAGCAAAAAAAAAAGAGAGAAGAAAGCTACATCTATCCACACAAACTGTCAGAAATAAAGATATTTTATATCAGCAACACTATTGATGATGCAATAGGACTAAGTCAACAGTTACGTACTACAATAAGTCAATGATTTTTATTTTTTGCTATTATGGCCAATAGGACTGTGGTGATGTCATCAGTAGGCAGGTCTGAGACTACTTCATATTCGTTATCCATTGTTTCACCCGGAATCCGTTCCAAAAAAATGAATATCTGAAGATTCAGATTAATGAAATTTAAGTTTGAATATCCGAATCTGAACTCATTATACATTTTTGTAATATTTAAAATATAATTCTATTTATATATGTATATTGTGTATATAATTGTTATATAAAATATATTTTTCTGAATTTCAATGATTTTTTTCAATTTGCTAACAGAAATAAATTTAAATAAAATAAATAAATATTAAAATAGTTAATTTTCAATTTAATTTTAATTATATTTTTGTAAAAACAAATTTAGACATCCGCGAATATTTGGATTTTAATCTGGATATTCTAGTTCTAGATAGTAATTTTACAGATCCAAATTTAAATCTTGATATCTTAAAATATTCCGAATATCCATTCGTTTCTACGTTTGTCATCAGTGATCTGAGTACTCATAATATTATTAGACGTCGAAATGGTAACTATTCACTCCACACCGCATCACCATAAATAATGATACAAAATGCTATATATACCTATTTTTATATGTTTTCGTTATTATTTGAACTGCACCGCATTTGTTCCATACTTGTTTTTGGAACCTTAGGACATCTACAATCGGAGTTCTTGAGAGAGTCCTTAGAGAGTGTGGAACATATTTTCTTTAAGTTTGTGTAAAAGAAAGTATTTAAAATCCATTGGTGATTGTTCTTACATTGTTCACGGGCCCATTGACCATGTGGCAACTCGTAAAGGGTATTTATTTTTTTTTAAATCAAAATATCTAGGATTAATCCGAAATGTCTTTGTTGCTAATGACTCTAATGAGTCTCACGGCAACGGTTGTAGATGCTTTTAGTTATGCTATGTATTTTACTAGAATTAAAATTAGTGATATTTTGACTGAGTATGTGAAAAGATGTTAGCAGTAAAGTAAGGAACAGTTGTTCGAGTGTGAATGCTCCCACGTGAACACAAATCTGTCCAGTAAACTTGATATTCATAAACACATGCTTTGAAATCATCTTTCTCCGGTCGCACTTAAATGCCATCACAAGAAGAAAACGAATTAGCCGTTTGCACTTAAATGCTCCCAACTGTGAAAGCACACAAATGTTGGAAAGTTAAATGAAGGCTTCATCTTTCGGGTTTATTTTCCAACGATTTCTTGGTTTTCTTTTGTTCAGTTTTTGTAAATTAAATTTTGGAGTCATCTTTCGGGTTTTGGGTTTAATAACAAGACTCATGACAATATATGAACGAGATGTTAATGAGACGTGCCACTGAATGGCGACTTGAGTGAGAAGTGAATTCATTAGATTGTCGGTTATCATTTGTATCAATTTGTATACTTGAAACTTATTAGGTTGTGTTCTTCAACAATGGTTTGCAATTTAGCCACTAGAGTCTGTCATTTTCTTGACAAGAACAGCCATGATCTTGCCTCTGCTTGGCTTAGAACTTATCTATCAGCTCTAAGGATAAATTGCTACTGCGTTAGTTGAATTAAAATCAATAAAAGTGATATTTAAGAGATCAAACGAAAACTAAAGAACAAATATTAACTGTAAAAGAAGCTGTATATGATATAGTTCTTGTCCAACATAAAAAAATGACTTGTCTTTTACCCAATAGTCCCATCTTTGTGAATCAAAGGTTCAGAAATTCTTACATCACTTAAAGAAGTAATCACATTTCCTGAAACTGTTGTGTGCTGTTCTCTATAAGATGCCCAAGTAACCATATAAAGCCCTGAAATGATTAGTACTCCACCCACAATGCTGCACATGAGACAAAAAAAAAAAAAAAGACAATAGATTTTAAGAGATTCTATCTAAGAGAGAAAGAGTGTGTAAGGATGGATCAAAGATGCAAGCAAGAAACCTTCCAAGATATATTGGACTGCCGAGGAAAATCATCGATAAAAAGGTGGATGCTGCAGGCTGAAGAGGGTTGTAAAGAGAAACCAAAGCAGCTCCAAGAATTTTATTAGACCAAGTCAAGAGTCCATAGTTCAGAGCTGATGCAAACACTCCCTAAGAAATGAAGAAACCTTCAATCTTTTATTTCAAACACACCCAAATAAACATGTTAGTTCCAAACTTTTTACCGCGAATATAACAGCAAGAATCTCGGATTGTGTCAAGCTCCACTCTTTAGGTTCTCTAACAAATACAAAGGCTGTAGTGATCATTATTAATGCTCCAAAGAAGTATGAGTATGCGGTAACCGAGAGGTAGGCAGGATACTTCTTCAAAACAGGTGCTTGGACAGCGATAAAAGCAGCAAAAGAGATGCAGTTTCCAATCAAGCATATAACCCCAATGTGCCATAGATCAAGCCCAAGACCAAGAAAAATTGAAACTAACCAACCATGAATCTCAGGCTGACTTCTATCAATAGTTTGTGTCAAGTAAGTATCTTCTTTATCTCCAAATAAGGCTGGACCACGGAACAAAACCATCACTAAGCCACCGGAAACACAAACGAGAGTGCCTCCAACTTTTGTTAGGCCCTCTATTTTAAACAAGTTCACTTTCTCTGTTCTGCATCCAAAGAAAGAAGACAATCAAAGATTGAGTATATATAGCTGTTAATGTTGAGTAAAAAACTATACTTACCCCATCATCACAGCTAAAATAAAGGTAAATACTGGAATGGATGGTTGAACAGCAGCGGCATAAGTTGGATTTGTGTATGATAAACCGATAAGAAATAGTAATTGAGTCCCAAATATCCTATCAAGATTGGAAACTTCATAAAGATTATGAGAACCTGACAAATAAAAAATGATATGGTTACTTACTTACCCTGTTAAACCAAGGAAGATGAGTGACAAGAGAACGCTTCTACTCATAGGAGGTCTGGTCCCTCTACAAAGATCATAAAAAGAACAGCCATGGTTATTGGTTTTGTCTTAAAAAACAGAGCATGACATTCTATCCAATCATCAAACAGTACAATCCGAATAAAACAAAGATACTGAGTTATCCAATAACAGAAAATGAAGCTATTATTGACATTTCTTGATTGGCTACAAATAAAATCAAGAAACTGCATTGACCAAATTAAAAAGAATGAAACCTTTCGCGGAAAAAAGCGAGAGGAGCGAGGATGGAGAGAGCAATAAGATCACGGAAGACACAGAAGACGAGCTGACTTATACCGACGTTAAGAGCTACTTTGGCACTCACATGGTAAGCTCCGTAAATGAGCTGACACAAGGCCATTGCAGCGTGCGCTCTTCTAGCATCCTTCCTTGTTGCATCGTTTAGGATCAACGGAGCTGACATCTTTCTTCTCTTCCTCTGATCGAAGAAGAGAGCCTTGCTCTGTTTTGCTTCCAAGTCAGACTTCTATCTTCTGTGTTTTTCTAGTAGTAGTTGGGTTGTTGTAAATAATATGAATATAAATATAAATCTTAAATAATATATTAACTACATGATTTTTAAGAGATACTAAAAAAATTTGATAGAAAAAAGCAGAAAATAAATAAATATAATTTACATGAAATTTCTTGAAGAAAATAAATTGATTATCCAAATAACGAAGAAATATACCATATGATAACCATAAACAACTTATGGATTTTTAGAACAGTTGTCCAATAACAAATGGTTTATTCTAAGAAAATAAAAATCGCTGTCTGCAAAAAAGAAGAAAAAAATTCAAGTTGTTTATCCATATAAATGGACATTCCAGTTGTCCATTTCGAAGTAATAATGTAGTGTAGCGGCCATACATCTCCAACTTGTGTACATTTTTTTCTGAACTTGTGTATATTTTGGTATACTTTCAATAATATGCAAAAAAAGAAAGAGTTAGCAGTGAATTAGTTTACTACGTAAAGCCTTTGGATTATTGCAAAATATAGGAGCTTATTTATATTTTTTAACTACTAATCGCGTGATTAATTAATAGGTAATGACAAATATTCTTTGTCTTCTTCGTGTATCTATAGATTCACACATCTTTATTGTCTTTGCTTAACCGTTCCAACTTCAGTTTTGATCAACATCTAGTACTAAAAGTGATAAAATCAAACAGTTATATATATACAGGTCCGTAGAATATCTTTATAATCACTCTTTAAATTTAATGGAATTGTTTAGCTAAAAACAATTGGGTATATTTATATCATTTCAAAGTTATGGGGTAAAAACCGCAAATAATACACTTTCTGTTTTTCAACAATTATGTTTTTGCAATTTGCAACATCAGCCACTAATATTGAGTGTCATTTATTGACAAGAGCCATGATTTTGTTTCTGTTTGGCTTATCTCAAATTAGAACTTATCTATCAGCTCTTGATAATTTGCTACTGCTTCAGTTGAATGAAAAATCAAGCAAGCAGCTGTTTACGAGATCAAACGGACAAAGCTAAGTGTAAAAGAAACTGTCTGTTATATACTTTTTGTCTGAACAGTAAAAAATGAATGTCTTTTTACGCAATTTTTTCACCAGTCCCATCTCTGTGAATCAAAGGCTCCGAAACTCTTACATCACTAAAAGAAGTAATCACATTTACTGAAACTGTTGTGTGCTGTTGTTCTCTATAAGTTGCCCAAGTAACCATATAAAGCCCTGAAATGATTAGTACTCCACCCACAACGCTGCACATGAGAAAGAAAGAAAGAAAGACATACTTTAAGAGGTTGTTTGTGTGTAAAGATGGATTAAAATGCAGGCAAACAAACCTTCCAAGATAGATTGGACTGCCAAGAAAAATTGCCGATAAAATAGCAGATGTTGCAGGCTGAAGAGGGTTGTAAAGAGAAACCAAAGCAGCTCCAAGAATTTTATTAGACCAAGTCAAGAGCCCATAGTTCAGAGCTGATGCAAACACTCCCTGAGAATCAATAACCAACAAAATACTCAGAAATGAAGAGAGTTTCAGTCTTTATTGTAAACTCTTACCGCAAATATAACGGCAAGAATCTCGGATTGTGTTAAGCTCCACTCTTTAGGCTCTCTAACAAACACTAACGCTGTTGTGATCATTATTGATGCACCAAAGAAGTATGAATACGCTGTAATGGAAAGGTAGGCAGGATACTTCTTTAAAAGCGGTGCTTGGACAGCAAGAAAAGCAGCCATACACATGCAGTTTCCTATTAAGCATATAACTCCAATGTGCCATAGATCAAGCCCAAGACCAAGAAAACCAGAAACTAACCAACCATGAATCACAGGTTGACTTCTATCAGTAGTTACTATTTTTGGGGTAAAATCTGCATCTTTATCTCCAAACAAGGCTGGACCACGGAACAAAACCATTACCAAGGCACCGGAAACACAAACGATAGTGCCTCCCACTTTTGTTAGGCCCTCAATTTTAAACAAGTTCACTTTCTCTGTACTGCATCCAAAATAAGGAAACACACAAAAAGATTGAGACATATATACATTTATGGTAATGTTGAGGAAAATGATACTTACCCCATCATCACAGCTAATAGAAAGGTGAAGACTGGGATGGATGGTTGTATAGCAGCGGCATAAGTTGGATTCGTGTATGATAAACCCATAAGAAATAGTAACTGGTTCCCAAATATCCTATCAAGATTAAGATTAGAATGGCATTAAAATCTACATAAGCAAGATGTTAAAAGATTTATGAGAACCTGGCTAATCAAAATGCTGATTACTTACCCTGCTAAACCTATGAAGAAGAGTGAAAAGAGGATGCTTCTACTCATAGGAGGTCTGATCCCTCTACAAGAACATCAAAAGAAGAACCATGGTTATTCATTCTGTCTTAAGAACAGAACATTACATGCAATCCAATCATCAAATAAACTAAGAAACAGTATCCAAACACTCATTAAAATCTAACAAATCAAGAAAAAGAACATTATCAGAATAAAACAAGTGAGTTAACCTTACATCTATTCCCTTACATGTTTTCATTAAAATCTAAACCTTGAATTGTTTGAATCATTAACACTAAAAAATAGTACCAAATAAATCAAGAAACAGAGCATACATGTAACCCTATACCCAATAACCAAAAAAATCAAGAAACAGAGCATTACATGTAATCCAATCACCAAATAATCAAGAATTACACATATAAAATAAAGAAACTGGAGTTATCCAATAACAAAAAGATGGAGCTATAATTAGAATTCTTGATATGCTGCAAATAAAAACCCACAAATAAATGAAAAAACTGCATTGACCAAATTTAAAAAGATGAAACCTTTCACGGAAATAAGCAAGAGGAGCGAGAATTGAGAGGGCAAGAAGGTCGCGGAAGACACAGAACACGAGTTGGTTGATACCAACGTTTAGAGCTACTTTTGTAATCACATGGTAAGCGCCGTTAATTAGCTGAACAAGGGTCATTGCAGAGTGTGCCATTCGAGCTTGCCTCTCCGTCGCTTCTCCGCCGTTTGTGATCACCGGAGCTGCCATCTTTCTTTCTCTCTCTCTCTCTGTCTCCGATCAGAGGAAGAGAACCAAAGTCTAAATTCGAGTCCTTTTTGAGAATTTTTTTGCTCTGTTTTGAAGTCACAATTCTCTTTTTTGTAATCTCGTAGTCGTTGAAAAAAGGGTTGTTCTTATTATTTGAAGAACAATGCTTTTTAAGAAAAGAAAAAAGACATTGAAAGACTATTACAAAAAGAGACAAAACAAAATTGTTTAGCTATTTTCGCTATAGATTATATTATCTCTCTGACAGTGCAGATTTTTTTTCATTTCATATTAACACATCAAATTATCACATTAATTAAATCTTTTGATTAATCTAGGGAAAAAATTCACATGGATTGAACGAAAACGTGTTAGAGCATGTGCAATGGTGACTCTTAAGGGAGTCCTTAAGGAATATGGAGCCCATTTTCTTAGAATTTATGTCAAAAAGAATGCTTAAAATCCTTTGGTAAGGACTAATTCTTACACTGTTCACGGGCCCCATTGACCATGTGGCGGCCCGTGAATGGTCATCCATTTTTTTTTTTTTTTTTTTTAAAATCCGAGATATCCAGAATTAATCCTAAATGCCCTTTCGCTAAGGATTCTAGTGAGTCTCACCATTGCACATGCTCTTACCCTTCTAATTCCTACTTTTTTAGCATTTGACTATAATCACCCGGTTAATAGTATCAATTTATTGTGTTCATTTTTCCTGCTTTTTGAAGTTTGATTCTGATATATTTCCTGAACATATTAAAAGTGTTTTTGCAATATCTCTTTATGTTTGTATTTCATTTTGTTTGACTATGAAATAAATTCTATACAGTTCAAGTAGCATTTTGTAAACAAACAAGCTTAATATCAAAGTAAGTCTGTGAGTAATATCGCTTAAAATTGATGGATACTATTTGAATTCCAATTTTTTTTTTTTTTGGTAAAAATGATGTACCATTAAAAACATTATTTCATTTTAATGTATTCTTTCAAAATGAGATACTATTGGAAATGTTTTTATTTAAACTATTTATATTTTATTTTTAATTTTTAGTTTTTATATATTAATATACTGTTTTAGATATATGTGGATGTGTGCTAATGATGAACCGTTGCCTAAAACAATTTCGATCTGCTGTGTTTTTCTGGATCAGTTATAATTGCATAAATATGATGAATACGACAGAGTTTCATAAAAAAGAATTATGAAAAGTAATTTGTTTCTTTAACGCTGAATTGTATTACTAAATTTTTAGTCAAAAAGTTCTAAATAATTAAAATTAAAAAGAAATATAACAGTAGGATTGAAAGTAAACTAATATATGTACCACGTTTACAAAAAGTGTTCTGTTTCCAGAAAGGAAATATACAACGACCATGATTCCAATAATCTGTGTTAGTTCTAGTATTATTGCATACACTTTTTACTCAAATCTGCATTAATATAATGCATGTTGTGTGGTCGACCGATAAGAAAAGGAATTATTAAGATATGAAATTTGCAGCTCAGATGTCGTTCTTGGCATTTCTATATATATCTGGAAAAGTCATTTTATTAAAGAAAACGTCGGTTTTTAAACCAATTCTAATAAACTAAAAAGGCCATTTTAGTATAATGAAAATCGGATTACTGATTATAAAGACGTTGAGAATAGGATAGTTTTAGACTATCTATGTGCCATTTTTATCAACGTTTTAGAGGCCCGGCCCATTAATAAAACTGCTCGGCCCAAAATCGTCTCCAATTTCACACCACCGGCACAATCGCCCAACCCTCTCGTTTCTCTATCCCTTCCTCGCCCATATAAAAGCCACCGTCGTCGCCGGAGCTCCGATAATCACCACTTAAAAAATGTCTTCCTCCGATGATGAAGACGAGTGCTTCGCTCGGTTCCTCGAATCAGAAGTTTCCTCGGTATATTTTTTTTTCCTAAGTTTCAATCTTTTTGGACTGAAACTTATCGATCTGTAATTAGATTGTAGATTCCATGTTTTTCCTATAATCTATCGATCTGTAATTAATTTATTACATCAAATTTGGGTTTGGTCTGATTTTATTCAAAATCAGACACATCTGGTTCATGTCCATTTTAAATTGTTATTTTACCTCCTTGTTCATGTTTTCCTGTGAAAAGTTGTTTTTTTTTTATTGACGCATGTGTTTTTTTTGTTCGTGATTGTGTAGGTAGAGGATGAAGAAAAAACGAAAGAACCTGAACCAAAACGACAACGTATTGAGAAAGACAAAACAAAGGTTGTAGACAAGGAAGTAGATCAAAAGAAAATAGAGAGTGGAGATTTCAGCAAAGTTCCTACAGATCTCTTTCGTCATATCTTCAAGTTCTTATCCTCTGAGGTATATTGCTCTAGTTTTGTAATTTTTTTCTTGATAATCTTTTTTTTTTCTTTGAAAAAGAGCTTTCAGTTTCTTGATAATCTTGAGGGCTGCATTTAACCTTTAGTTGTGATTATTACAGGATCTTCTTTCATGCTCTTTAGTGTGTAAATTTCTAAACTTTGCTGCCTCTGATGACTCCTTATGGCGTCGCCTGTAAGTCTCTTCTCATTTTTACCTTGGTCTTGTAGATAATCTAGTTTTCAAAATCAATAGTTTGTACTTATAAACAAAGCTATACACACGTTTGATTGGTCCTTTCTGCAGGTATTGTATCCGGTGGGGACTAATGCCGTCAACTAGAATGCTACGTGAATCTGCTTGGAAGAAGCTTTATATCGATGTGAGTTGTTACATAATCTGTGAGCTGCTATTAAAAGGTCATACATGTATTAGTTCCTTTTATTAAGCGAATGAATTTCTCTTTGTCGAATCTTAGCGTGACGAGAAGGACATGATTGAACTTGTCAGAAGCTGTCCACCGGATTTTAAAGTGTATTACGTTCAAATGCAAGCAGCCAAGCGAAGTCAAGCCCCTCTTCCCTCCGAGGTAACATCTAATAGTTGCTTTCTTTTTGCACTATGATCATTGTATTGTTTGATTTATTCTCACTCACGTTCTTTGGTTGCAACGTTTAGATGGTGGATGACAAGGTAGTTCTTGACAAAACTGTGCTTGACAAAGTATCTCTATGGAAGAAAAGCAAGGGACTTACCAATAAATCTGTGATTGGCCACGTTTGTTTGGGAACAAAATGTGGTTACCATCAGATTGACGATGTGTTCATATGTGAAGAGACTGGAAATGTTCACGGTATGGAAGTAAAACGCTGTTAAAAAAAATGTAGAATCTGTTGCTTGTGTTTTCTAAACTTTACCTCTTTGTTTGATGGTGATGTAACAGTATGTGATGAGAATTGCAAGGAAGTAATATTTTGTCCAGACAGTGGATGCATGGTGTGTACTATCTCAGGACTTTGTTCTGACAGTTTGGTCCTAGAAACTGATTCAGACACAGATCAGGAAGAAGCTGAAGTATTAACAGAAAAGGGGCGGTTTGGTACGTATCTCTCTCTCTCTCTCTTCCTCTCTCTGCTTCTTTTTTCGATTATCTGTTAATCTCTAACGTATAAGTGAATGGTGTTGTGTCTTCTTTTGACTGCAGATAGAGCTTTTGAATTTGGATACAACTGCGAGAGTGAGCAGGAATTAGAACGTACATTTAGGTTCTGCTGATCTAGAACGTCTATGAAGTGCAGTGAATGAAATTTAGCTCTTGGTTTGAGTAGTCTTTGTAAGTGATGCAGAGCTTTGTCTGTAACTTTAATAGATTGTCCTTGAAAAGTGTTTAAAATGTGGTAATTAAGTTCCAACTTTTTTTTACTGTAAAATCCTATTGGTAATTAGTAAGTTTCCATAGCAATATAGTTTCCTGAGTTCTATCTATTGAACATGATGGATTGATGGGGAATCACTTATTCAGTATCACACTATGTGGTTGTCAAACTCAACTTTAGTTTATACACTAAAGAGCATGACAGAAGGTCATGGCTATGGACTGCATGTTTAAGTGTAAAAACACCACGTTTCACAGTACGGTAGACAACGGACCTCTCACTTAGTTCGACTATCCCATCACGTCTAACCGAAACTGGCGAGGAAGGTCCTGGAGGTCAAACGGAAATTATGTTAAATTCGTCGTGGCCGAGTCAATTCGTTGTGGCCGGACTCGAACTCGTGATGGCAGACACCTCAACCGAGGTTCATTTACCACCAGACTACGAGGCCCGGTTACTTTAACGTTTCATAGTATGGTTGGCAGAAAGTTTGTAGATAAAAATGTATATATGCAGAACCGCGGTGAGACCTACAATGTGCAAGCATTGTCCGGAAAATAATTTATCAGTATCGTATATGTTGAAAGTAACTGATCGATCATATCTAATAGATTATATGGTAAATGTATTTGAGATTTGATCACTTTTATTATAAAAAAACTCACTTTAGTTTGTTACAAAAGAATTGGGAAAGCTATAATAATTTCGTGTAGATTCTTCGATTCTTTTCTCATTGCCCCCCCCCCCCCCATTTAAGAAGAAACAGATTATCCACCACCCCTAATGCATGTTGGTAGTAGAATCACAGGTCTATTACGCGTTCCCGCAACGCTAAATATTGGAGTACGTAACAAAAATATTGGTAGTAGAATCACGTGTCTATTACGCGTTCCCGCAACGCTAAATATTGGAGTACGTAACAAAAATATTCTTATCTTTATCTCTTTTGACCCCCATATTTTATTATACTTCGTAACCACCCCACGAGTTATTGTGGACCCGCTCGAATTGAGAGAAGCAAACTATACAATTAACCATTATTCACTAACGATATCAATATAAATTCTGAATAAACCATTACTAACACCATTACATATGTCTGATGTGTCGTTACTGGTGTTGAAAACTGGACTCCATTTTTATTAATAAGAAATAAGTGTCCAATTAGGAATCATACCCAAAGTATGAGGACCAAAAAATTAAAAATATATCCTTTGGAAACCGTGCCACGTAAGGAAATAAATGTATGTATTAAGCAAACACATCCATACTTATCTCCAAAGATCTTCTGTTTTGTTTTCAGTTTCGACATTGTTTCACGATTCTTCTCGGGTAAGAAAGCTCTCTCCCATCTTGTTCCCTTGAGATTGATTTATTTTACTCTTGTTCTTATGATCAAACAGAGCTTCACTTGTTCTGATCTGTATACTTTTCGTTTAGTTGTTGATCTCTAACCTAATCTATGAAGCTTTTTGTCTGTCCTTTTGATCCTCTGATGAAAAGCTTCAGTTTAATGCTAGGTTTTGTCCAGATCTAACCTTAATCCCATTGTTTTCTTATTGTTTTTTTTTTTTAGGTTTTGTTTTGTTGATTGAGAAAAAAATGGGAGGTGACGAAGACAGAGAGAAAGGGTTTTATGGGTATCCACCCGCTGGATACCCGCCGGGTCCTGGGGCTTATCCACCAGCTGGATACCCACCACACCAAGCTTACCCTCCACCACCACCTGGTGCCTACCCACCTCCTCCAGGTTATCCTCCGGGTGCATACCCGCCTCCACCTGGTGCCTACCCTCCAGCTCCTGGTTACGGAGGTTATCCTCCTGCGCCTGGGCATGGTGGTTACCCTCCTGCTGGCTATCCTGCTCATCACTCAGGTACTCTTATTTACTCTTGCTAGTTGTGAAAAAAAAAACATTTTAGCTAAAAAATGTGGTAAAATGTCACTTTAGAAAGAAATTAAAATGTAGAATTTTTGTCTATATATGTGGTAGATATCATGTCACATTAGAAAGAAGTTGAAACAAAGAATGTTAATTGTGAAAGATATTATCATCTCGGTTGTTACATTTCATTTTAGCAAGAAGTTGTGGCTGATAAATATATTATTTTGAAATGACTGTACTTTATATGGTAGCAGGAATCCATAACCATTTGACTCTTAAGAGTTTATATTCTAATTGCAAATGACATGACATCTATGATTAAAATCAGTTATGTAAATTGTTCAAAAATCTAACCTTTGAAGTGTTCTCTCATGTAGCAACCATATAATTTGAGTTTCGAGCATCATAAAGACAAGTTTGCAGATTCAATTATGCGTTATAGTTTATTTGGCTCTTTTGTTTTTTTTTCTTCTCTTAATGTAATTTGCCTTTACTTGTTCAGGACACGGAGCTGGAATTGGGGGTATGATTGCAGGTGCTGCAGCTGCATATGGAGCTCACCACATAGCTCATAGCTCTCACGCTCCTTACGGGCACGCTGCATATGGTCACGGTTTTGGACATGGTGGTCATGGCTATGGTTATGGTTATGGCCATGGTAAGTTCAAGCACGGGAAGTTCAAGCATCATGGAGGCAAACATGGGAGGCATGGGATGTTTGGAGGAGGTAAGTTCAAGAAGTGGAAGTGATCTAAAAACCCCTTTTTATCTATCTCTCGCCGATTGAGGCTTTAATAATGATTATGATATTACATGATGTAGTATGAAGCTATCTATGGTTTTATGATGACAGATTCTGTTTTTTTTTTCATATATTAAACCCTTGTATATATGGGTTTTGACATTGCTTAAACGGTTGTAGAAGGCATGGTAATGATCAAGATGATCTAAATACTAGTTTCTGAATTCTTTACCCATCTTATGGGTGTATTCAACCAAACATGTAAATTATTTGATGTTGATAACTAGATGATTTTGGGTGATTTTGGAGAGAGAAAAACGTTGTTATGTTTGATTGAATACACCTTTAAAAGGACAAATGTGAGTTTAAAATGGGTTGATCAAGTAAAGTTGGTTCATCGCAATAAAAAGTGTCATTTAGAGAAAAATATCGCCACTTTTTCTCGTAGAAAAAATCTATATATATGAAGGAGAACACTCACTTCTCCTATGCTGCCATGTCAGCATCGTAGTACAAGAAAGGAGAATGTGTCACGTAAGCTCACTCCCTCCCGCGATTAAACCTCACTCACGGTATGTACTTTTTTGGGCTTTGTCAAATGTTTAATATATGAATCTTTTTGGGTCTTCCACGAGTCTTTCTCCTTATGAGTTCTAAATTGATTTAGTTGTTTTGCTACGAAACCCTCGCCCTTCCAGTTCTCCTTCCCATCAAGAAACGTATGCAGTTATGAAAATCTATATAAGAAAGGAGATTGTGCCATGTAAGCTCACTCCCCTCTGCGATTAAATCTCACTCACAGTGTGTACTTTTTTGGGCTTTGTCGAATGTTTAATATATGAATCTTTTTGGTTCTTCCACATGTCTTTCTCCTTACGAGTTCTAAGTTGCGTTTTGATTCAATTGTTTTGCTACGAAACCCTCGCCCTTCCAATTCTGCTTCCCATCAAAAAAACATATGCAGTTATGAAAATCTATATTATCTATCTATCTTCTATATATATAAAGTACACTTTCCTGAAGACATTCTCTCTGCTTTTGGAAAAAGTCAGTCACCTTTTCACCTACTTTTCAAAAAGCTTTCCAATTTCGGTATTACCCTGTGGACAAGCGAGTTAGCAGCCTTCTATTACCCGGGTTCAACCCCCGACCCGGGTCGGAGGGTCCTCTCCTCGCCGCTGCTACCCACCGGAATGCTCCACCTAAGCCGGAAACAANTGAAGACATTCTCTCTGCTTTTGGAAAAAGTCAGTCACCTTTTCACCTACTTTTCAAAAAGCTTTCCAATTTCGGTATTACCCTGTGGACAAGCGAGTTAGCAGCCTTCTATTACCCGGGTTCAACCCCCGACCCGGGTCGGAGGGTCCTCTCCTCGCCGCTGCTACCCACCGGAATGCTCCACCTAAGCCGGAAACAACTTATGATGAAGATTCCGACCATCATCATGTGGGAAACTTGTGATTCCAGTGGGTTTCCACTCTTCTGAAGTTTTTCAAGCCTCTGTTTTTGTTTAAGCTTTTGGAAACAGGGAATCCTGTCCTAAACTCTCTTTATTCTAATCAACCCTCGGACTAATAGAGCGAAGCTCAGTTAACACAAGAGCTAGAGCTCAGCTATCGGAAGAACCTTTCTGAACGGAAGATCTTAAGTATGGAAGGAAGACTCTCCAGAGAAGCAAAAGGGAAGAATATTGCAAATGATCCGACTCAGCCCCCTCGTACCGGTCGGATAAAAATCCAGGCCCCTGCTACTAATGACCGATATGAAAAGCTCTCCCTTACTGTCATAGGAAGAGTCACAAACCGTACGGCACAAAAAGTCTGGGCTCTTATCCCTTTCTTCACCGAGATGTGGAAGATACATGGGAACCCAGTGGGTTCGGATTTAGGAAACGGATGCTTCCAGTTTCAGTTTGAGAAAGAATCTGATCTCTTAGAAGTTCTAGAGAAAAGACCTTTCCATTATGCTAAATGGATGGTCATCGTACAAAGATGGGAGCCTACTACTGCGACTTCATTCCCATCCCTACTTCCTTTTTGGATAAAAGTTCAAGGAATCCCGATTCACCTGTGGGATGAAGAAACAGTCGAGAGCCTCGCCGCAGATATCGGAATCCTTGACAAAGTTGAAATCACCGATTTCTCCATAAGAATGCGAGTTCAGGTCAATGGCCTTCTACCACTGATGAAGTCGTCTATCATTGAGTATTCTAATGGTGATGAGGTTACTGTCACCTTCATTTATGAGAGACTTGGTAAGCACTGCTCAAAATGTCTTCGCTTGGATCATGAGATTAAGGATTGTCTTGTAGCAAAACACCAGGCCAGAGAGGAACAAAGACAAGCTCAGTCATCAAAGGA